AAGTGTACAATACAATGTCGGTTAGACAGATTCTATTGTTCTGAGGGAATCAGCCTAATTAATATGCAGTGTTTCATATTTACCGGTCTCTTTCTCAGACCATGATGTTGTTAATATTGAACTTGAAGAGTGATACCGTACAAAAATCACAAAAAGGGCCTGGTATTTGGAGAATGGAAACGTTCATTCTTGATGATCGTACTTTCCGACAGGAGTATGCAGAAGCGTTTCAATTTTGGTGCCTTTAAAAACCATACTTTGTAAATGAAAGGGAATGGTGGGATGAAATCAAACTGAAATCTAAGAGACTGATCATTAAAAATAGCACAGGAAAGAAGGCAACTGAAGGATGAACAAATTGAAGACCTTCAACTTAGTTTAGCGATGCCCAATCCATCATTGGCATCAACAACGGCCGCGATGGATTTGGCACGAGCCAAGGAAAAGATGAACAACAAACATGTACTAAAGAAAGAATAAGACGGGGTCAGAATAAGGTCAAGAATCCATTGGATAGAAAAGGGGGGAGAAACCATCTGCTTTCTTTCTAAATAAGAAAATTAAAAGAGGTAAAAAAAAGTAATAGAAGAAATAAAAAAATAAAGATGGTAACAGTAAAAACCCAAGAAGAGGTCATGGGTGTGTTCAAAGAATTTTATACTGATCGATCGCGTTGACAAGGTTCTGCACAAAGTGGGATTTGGACCAAGGTTTCGTAGTTTTGTACAAACGTTATATAATAATGCTTATTGCAACATTTCTGTCAATGGCCATTTATCTGACCAGAGGCGGGGCATGTGTTATACGCGGGGCGTATGGTAATTTGACACTCATGCGGGACATGTGTTATACGCGGGGCGTATGATAATTTGACACTCCCGCGGGGCATGTGTTATACGCGGGGCGTATGATAATTTGACACGCATGCGGGGCATGTGTTATACGCGGGGCGTATGATAGAGAATTGGACACGCATGCGGTACATGTGTTATACGCAGGGCGTATGATAATTTGACACTCATGCGGGACATGTGTTATACGCAGGGCGTATGATAATTTGACACGCATGTGGGACATGTGTTATACGTGGGGCGTATGATAATTTGACACTCATGCGGGACATGTGTTATACGCAGGGCGTATGATAATTTGACACGCATGTGGGACATGTGTTATACGTGGGGCGTATGATAGAGACTTGGACAAGTCTAATTCGTCAGTGGATTTCATGGAGTAGTCTGCCTTGGTCGTTAAATGCTGGGAACCAAACATGTACTATGGACTTTTACATTGCCACTATTATTGTTTTTTACTGTTCGATTTACGGTTCGAATCGTTCTATGGAAGGCAGGGAAGCCTGGGCTGTACGGTAAAGTACGGCCCGGTCCGGAACCCGTTATGGAACATATTCGCGGCCCGGGTATGATATAATATGTCATACCCACCCATGTGCCCTTCAATCCGGAACACCGTAACACCAGTCCGGAATATTGAATGTTCGTTCGTTCATCCATTCATTCATTCATCAACAATACTGTTGCTTTTTTTTTTGCTCTTTGCAGTATAAGTATCACATTCTTGATCATATATTCATGACACTCAAATCTGTGTCCAACACTAATGTGTGACAATGTTCCTCCGAAATTTTTCAGGCGATGAACAAGTCTGGAAAAGGTCATGTGGTTCAGGGGACAGTCCAAGGATTTTCGTGGACTGTCCCTGATGCTACTGTACTACTGCAGAGCTCAACAATCCAGACAGGACCGCTGGAGTGGTGTTTGAGGGTGCTGCCCACAGACAGGCACACAAGGAGACATGTGGGGGTGTTTGTCAAACCCACAGCTGGTCACCCTACTTTGGCAAACTTGAGGTAAGTTCTAAGACACCAATTAAAGGAAGTTATATCAGTTTTGTCTCTACAGAGGTGAGAAAAAGAGACATGAAAAATTTTCCTGATTTTGAATTATGTTTTGAATGCTCTGGCTCAACGGTTAGATGCAAAAAAAGGTCGTTTTAAAATGTAGATATATGACTTTAACATCAAACTACAATCCAGCGTTATCATAACAATTTTCAGGTGGAGGACCCATCAGACTTGCAGCTGCGAGAGGAGACCAACTACTGCCTTCACGCTAAGGCGGCTGCACAGCTCAACCTCCAACCGTTTGATGACGATGAGGACGCGGACAGTGTGCAACAGATAGCAACAGTGCCGTTTCTTGCTGCTGTGCATGACGGGGATAGATATGGTTAGTTTAAAAGTAGATAAACAATCGATTTTTCAGATCATTCAGAGTTATTCGTGATGCTAAACTTGAGTTGAATTGAGACTGTTGAATTAGCTGTTTATATCCCTCATCATTGTCTGTATCTGATCAGCCGTCTTGTCTGATTTTAGGTTTGCTGAAGCGTGTTGGACGTGCTGGCAAGTTAACTTGTCAGCAATGTCCCTACCAACGGCACAGCTGTGGCCATGTCCAATCCTACAATGACTGGTGCAAGGAGAGGAATGTGGAACCGGAGGTAGTTCTCCAACTTGCGTCCGAATCAACAGAAGAATTCGAGAGCATCTCGTTCACCCCTATCCCCTACCCCTGGCCGGCGGAGATGAAAGAGACGTATGAGAGGTAAGTACATTATACCAACTTATAAGGTCTATTTAACCCTCAACAGTACACCTTCCCGGACAGACTAATCTGTACACCTGGGGTCCGCGCGGACCCCAGAACAGTTTTTTTGCTAATTTTTAGAAATTATTAACATGCTACCAGCTCAATTGTTTTGCAAACTGATGTGGGAACCTCTGTGTCCACATTACATACAAAAATCACACATTTTGAACTTTTTCTATTTTTTGGTGAAGAAAAGAAGACAAGAAGAAATACCCGATTTTTAAACCCATTTCAGACTGAAGGGGCTTTTGAGGCCCAACTTTGATCTTAGATAGCGGCTAAACGGCTTGCGCTAGAAGTATCAAATTTGGAGACCTTTCCTGAAATGTCTCTGGAAAAACGTTCATATTAGTTTGATACTAGTAAGTTGATGTTTTTTTGTGTTGCCATGGCAACGGGCTATTTTTTTTGAAAATAGAAGTAATTTTGGTTTAAACATAAAAATTTTCTGAGTTTTACATTAAATTACACTTCTTTTCCAACATATATAACATATTACATAATTAAATATAAGTTAAATCATTTAATATGCATAGAATATGCTAATTTGATGACGTCATTGGTCAAAATCCAATATGGCGGACTATATTATTAGCTCTGACGTCATATGACGTCATAATTACACCAAAGTTATTAAAATTTAATTCTATTACTACACCATTCTCTGAAAACTTGGTAGACATACGATGAGTGCATAAAAACATATAAAAACGGAAATAAGGTAATGTATAAGAACGCCAGTGTATCCATTATGATCGAAAGCCGGCTGGGGTCCGCGCGGACCCCAAAAGAAAATCAGATATAATTTTTTATAAATGGTAGAAACGGAGTATTCTGCACTGTATTGAGAGACAACTTTGTGGGTAACAATTACCTAAAATTCACGCCTGTTTCGAGTGGAACATTTAGTTCGAACGCGCCGCTCCGCGCCTAACCTCATTTGCATATATGGGAAAATTAACCTGCTCATTTGCATATATGGGAAAATACCGTGCTCCCGCTAGCGCACTGTGACTTTTGGCCTTTGACACCACAAATCATGACGTATAGTCACATGCAACCATTTGCAATGGGAACAACGTTGCTACAGGGTAGCGAACAGAGTCTTGCGAGAATTGGTTGAGTCTTTAGCACCTCTAAGCCGCGAGAATGCAGAAATTACGAAGAAAACTGGCTGGTCTCTCTTCGGATGTGTATTAAAGAGCCTGGTAAGTAACGTTTACTTCTTGATATTTCAGTATGACTACAAGTTTTTCAGGAGCAAACTCTGGTGGTTTTCAAACCACAAATTATGTGTCTCTTAGAGCTGGAAAACTGGCGTTAGCCTGACACTTTCTTATTAGCAATATGGGGCGTCAAATGTTTAGATGCATGTTACACCATATTTACACGTTCGCGACTCATTAGCTATCGGCAGTGTGTTCACACGTGTTACATAACTGTTGTTTGGCTTGCATGTATTTCCATACCTGTTCAAAAACTCCACTGCACTTGTTTCCTCAATTTTCCTCGTTTTGGGCCGACATAAGCATGGGACAGATCGGTTGCATTGGTGCATATAAAAGGAAAATAGCCCCCCTCCCCAAGTAGTATCACTCATGTACTAGTATATAATTTTGTGAATGTTTTCTTAACTTAGACTAGTTAAAAGGAACCCTGTACTGCTGTTGCCAATATTAACGAGGGAGACTTCAGTTTGCAAAACGTGAGTAAATGCCAATTTTACACATGTAAAATTATAATATATATAGTAGTTCTTTACAGTGTGCATCATACAGCAATAGTTAGTACAGTTGAGCAAAACAATTGTCCATGCTTTGTTTTGGTACTGCTGCAGGAAAAGATCTAACTATAAATTCTACCTGTCAACTGTTTACATTTGTAACCATACAGTGCTATTGTGTTCACAGAAATGCCACAAGTACATGTATATAATACTTAGTAATGCTAAACATTGTTTCTACTCCATAATTTGTTAACATCATTTCTAGATAACTACATTTGTACATTTCTCCTTCTTTTCTTTGGTGCAGGCACACCATCCTGTCTCCCTGGATGCACCTGTAGGCAGATGGGTTTCCAGTGTGGACTTGAGCCGTCTCACCGCATCCGGGATGGAGCTGGTTGATCGGTTGATCCGATTGAAAACGGCATGGACCTGTTCCACCCCTTGCTCCCCATGAAAACCCAACCCAACCCCCCAACACCTTATCCAGGGTATGACATGTTCTTCCAAGAGGTGCATCTTGACAGATACAGACGAGGTAGGGAACAGCTCTCTGTACTTGGCCAGGAAGTGCTTGATACTGCAGTCTGTAACATAAAAAGAATGGTATTGATTGATTATGTATTGGTTTACTATGAAAAACATTATGATGTCAATTGCATATCCAAAATAACTTTTAATGTTGGTAGTAGATCAAAATGGGTTGATGACTAAGAACCCACCTAGATTAGATATCTCCTCATTAGTCATGCTGTTTGTGTGGGAGTACCCTTTATGGCACTTTGCAAATGCCTTGAAGATTGTCTCATACTTCACCCTGATGTCATTAGACCTTGTAACCAGGTCAAGCGGAAAAGCCTCAAACTGGGTCACAATTTCCTCTGCCGCCTGCTTGGCAGCAGACGTCAAGTCTTCGATGGCTTGTTCCTGTACATATAAACAATGTCGATGTCTGATATTGGGATTTCTTATACACAACCAAACTTGTCTCACCTTGCTTACATTTTGATGTCTATCAGACACCTTCCTCAGAGCTTCTGGCTTCTAACTGGTGTCCTAGTTCTCGCCTATGTAGCCAATGTAGGTGGCGCTTTTGCAGCGAGAACAGTTTGTACCCCCCCTCGTCACGGCTCATCAGAGAAGACAAGAATTACGTTGGATCAAAGAAGTGGTCTGGATAAGGGAGACAACCCCAGTGATGAACCTAGACGAGGGGATGGGGGTACATCTATAGCCATGTTTTGGGACCGTGTTCTCGCCGAAAAAGCTGAAGGTGTCTGATAGACATTGAAACGTAAGCAAGATGAGAGAAGTTGGTTGCGTATGGCCTCCTTCGCAGACTTGTGGGGCGGCGGCATTTATTTTTTCAGAAAGCGAGAGTGATGCTAGTAGAGTTATGCTGTGGAGGTAGTTTGCCGCAGAGGTAGTTTGCGGGCAAGGGAAGATTTCGGGAAACTTTTGCATCTCTATGACAGGAATGAATACCATACCTTCAACATGACCTCCACGTGATTCCCAACAAATCCCCCACCATGGTAGGCCTGCCTCCTGGCATTGTTGTTCTGGAGAACGGTGTCCAAGAGGCTTGAGAGAGGGCCATTGGTACTGGTGATTTGGTGCCGGTTTTTATGTCCTCAGACTCACTTTCCTAATGAGAGACATACATGTATTTTGGTTTCAATTTCAACTGCAAAATTTATAAAAAGACATTTAATGCATATGTTGCAAATATCACGTCACATTGATTAGATGGAGAATTACCAGTTTCCTCTTGCGCTCCATAAGCCTCTCGATTTCTTCCTTCATCGACATGATGTTGTCCAGACTCCTGGCTTGAAGGATGGCGTAGGCCAGACTGCTCTCGAGTTCCTCCAATTCCTCACTCAAATCCTCTACCATGTTGTCTACAGCCCTAGCCTCTTGCATTGCCTCTACATAGGGCTTGAGCCCGTGCAGCTGGTGGTGGTAGAGCACCTCTCCCTCGTCCATGTCCTCATCATCTACCACTCTCACCATGTAGGCACCAATGACTCGGTCAAGGTCTTGGAGCTCTGCTTCCATCATGGTGTAGAGGCGGTGATAGATACCCAAGCTTACATGAAGCCCGGGTACACACACCTATATTAACAATATTCAAAAAGGGATGGAAATAAGTGCTTTTGTATAGCAAGATTACAAATTGGTTTACCTTGTTATACACATAATGATACTTAAGTCTTAACTTAGTAAATATCAAACCATGAAAGTCTTTTAGATGGTAACATGTACAGGTAGGAAGACTATCTTGGAGTGGTACACATAGTAATTCCTAGTTTTCTTTTCCATGAAAGACTTGTATAAATTAAAGACTTGCATCAAATGTACAGACCTGGTCAAGGGGCACATTGAACATGTAGGGTGCAATCACGTTTTTGTACAGCTTCGCCTTACTGATGTTCCCTCCTCCCTCTTCCTGGAACTGCCTGTAGTGCATGTCCAGCCTTTCCAGGGTCCTTTTTCTAAGGATGAGTTCCCTGTCCTCAGGCTCCAATGTCATGCTCT